GGAAAGAAGCACTCTGAAAATCAGTTTCATTCAATAACAGAACTGTGGCAACGCTCAGTGAGTACCTTTCCTAAGCAAACTACGTTATTATTTAGTTCTGCCTCTTCCTTGACTACTCTATTATTCTGTAATTTAGTGGGTATACTGATCCATTACAGTATATATTTAACATATATACCATAAAGAATACTAGCCTACAATTTGAAATGTTACTCAAAAAATTGCCAGTAGATGGTCTCTATACATAAACTTGCAATTAATTTTGGAGTCATGCAAGGCTCAACATAGTATTTTTAGACTTACACCCAATGTATATATAAAATCAAGTAAACACCTGCAAATACAATCAAGTAACCACCTATCGTTTTCATGGACTATACATGCTCTAAAAAGAGAAACAGTTGACAGCTGCAACTGGTTTGCTGGCATCATATCAAAAATGACAAAAACAAAGAGAAATAAAATTTATTATAAAACATGTTGAAAAAGCAATGACTTTAGCTGAGTTCCTGCTCTGCTGTTCTAGGCAGAACATAATGTGATTGAATGCTTTCAGGAAAGCTAAAACAAAATTATAGCGTACGTATGTAGCCATATTAAAACCGCTTTCTCTTGATAATTTCTGGTTTCCAGCTGACAGGATGAGTTTCTTCAGTCTGAAAGGAAAAGAAAAATCTCGTAAGGCTATTTTTAAACTTGAAAGTTATCTGTAATCAGGGTTCAGGTTAAAATATTACTTACAAAGGATACACATTCTATTTCATACAAAATAGTATAATGTAACTACTATAGTAATTTATTTACCCAAATTAAATTTTATTTTACTTCATCCCACTGTCTGAAGTACATGACAAGGTCTCTACTTTTCTTCTGGTCTTTCTTTTTTGACAACAAGAATAAAGATAAGATTGTCAATGGTAATTCAGAAAATATTTTGGTGATCAAAGCACAGGAATAAGAATTCCACAGCCAGGCCTTCTAGTGATATCCATATGAATACTGGCAAATTTCCTGATCCCTACATTTTGCCCAATTATGGATAAATAATGGATAAAATATTCCTTTTTCCTTTAGAGCTCATAGTTACTCCGAGTCTAATTCGATGCAAGAGATCCCTAGGTTTAATACAAATGCTTACATTCTTTATATTGAAGACTTCCTGTGTTGAAGACACACTCTGATACAGAGAAACTATACAGTAAACTATCATCTAGTACATTAATAAACTGATTCAGAATTGAGCACAGTATTTTGGAAGTAAGCTGTTTATTCTGAATTCTAGTCATCTACCTTTGATTTTTAATCTAGATCACATACAGAAGTATAGTAAATCTTCAAATTTTAAACAATCTTTGTCTAATTCCCATCCTTTAATGATTAAAAATACAGCCTCCTACTGGCTTCAAAATTAAATAAATACTATTATTGTAATGAGATTTCTCCAAACCACATCACGAGGGACTTTTACAGAAGAGTAGATGGACCTGAGAATTCTTATAGCAGTAAATAAGAAATCAGGATTTCAGAAAGTACCTGCTGCTGACCTCTTTAGATAACTATGTACTCATTCTTTTCCAACATTAGTAAGACTAAACAAACAAATCTGTATGCATGTCTCTAATGGATACACAAGACATTTGTTCCAAACTTGCTGATGTCAAGAAAATACATTTAGAAAGTCACTTCAACATACCGCAGTATCATCTTCTCTGTACACTTTTATGGTTTTATCAGCTTCAGCTGTTAGCAGTCTGCTTTCTGACTGGTCAAAAGCACAAGCAAATATTCCTGATTCACTGTCCAAAGAACCTGGCTGTACAGCTGCATGTACTCTCTGGAAATTATATCCAGTTCTCCAGTCCCAAAGATGCATAGTACCATTATCAGCTGCAAAGAAAGAAACATAATTAGTATCTTAACCAGTTAATTTCTACTATTTTTCTAAAAACAGTTTCATGAACAACGGATTAATGCATCAGGAACATGTTAACTATAACGTTCACGTAGAATGTCTCAGCACATCACATAGTAGTTTCCCATTTTCTGCTCGCCTCCTTCCTAAATAAAAAGGAAGGTCACTTTTGTTTAAGAAGGCTGATGGAAGCCTCCTCAAAAGCTTATCCAACTTTGCATCAGATAACCCAGACAGCTGGCCTACCAGGGCACAAGACTATTGCAGCAAGTTCGTTTGGAAGCAAAGAAAGGACTGCAATTCTGAATATCAGTTTCCTGTTCAGCAGCTCTACTAAAATTGATCAAAGATATCATCGTGTTGAACAGATCACAAACACCCACTGCTGAATTTGTCAGCAAGCACCATAGAACCTCTACAAACACTCAGCTTATTTCAACTACTAGTTTAGACCACTGTCACCATTATTGCTAGTAGCATCAGCTTAAGGATATTCATACAGATGTCAGCTCCCTGTTCTGAAAGATGCTTTCAAAGCAATTTTTCAATTTTAATTAAAAAAGAAAAAAAAAGATCTAGCCGAACCAGACCTATTAAAACTTTCATTTCTCCATGGCTGCCAACTAGACAAGAAGTCCAGTTGTTTCAGAAAGTATGCTTCTAAGGTAAGAGACTCCTCTAAGTCAACCTCACGTTATTTTAACTCAGCATCAGTTTCTTTGAAGTTGTAGACAGCATAAGGATGTAAAAAAAAGTCTACATTCAAACAGTATCTAACCTCCCCCCCCACCCCAAACACACAAATAATTAGAAAAACAATTTTCTGATGTGGAGTAGGAACTAGTTTTTCTAAAGCCTCAATTACTTTAAACACCAAAAAATCCTGCAAGGATCTTCTAGAAAGGTCTTCAAAAATAATACAGAATTAAGTTTGAAAACAACTCAGTATTTTGTAAAGTTCTTGCTCTCACTATGAACACATATGTTCTCAAATACAATTTTATTCTGATTTTTAAGATCACGGGTACCCTATTATTATGATTTGAAGTACATATGAGGGTAAGTTGACAACATAATTAGCTGTCTTCCTGCTCCAAGTCGACACATTTCCATTTTACAGTATTAAACATAGGCTTGGGATTTGGAGTATCAAATGGGACCAAGAATACAAAAAAGTCAGTGTTCCAAAGTGCAACTTAACAAAAAAGTAACAGCTTTCAAAACAATTATGCTCTGTATACAAACACTGACTTTTTTTTTTCTTTCTTTTAAACAGGTAGCTTGCTTGCTGCAAACTTAGGGAATCTAAATCTTACCTTGACCTTTCTAGCTCATGTATGATACCATGAATTAAGTCCCACTCTCAGTTACAACTACCCAAAATATTAGAGAAGGAAAACCAAGGGCTGAAAACTCAGACCCTAGGAGTAACTTGGAACAGTACAGACAAGCCTCTTAATTTACTTTCCTATGACTGCTAGAGCTCTACTTTTTAAAATCTTGATTAAATAACTGCTCTAGGGCCTCAAAGATCTGCATTCCACTTCCTACTTTAACTCTGATTTCTCACATGATCTTGGGTTCTTTCTCTAGAGCTTCTGAAGCTATAAAATTAGTACTTCCTTTTTCATACTTTTTGTTCATTTTCCATTTTTAATAGCATCTACAATTTTAAAAAACCTTACTAACACCCTACTATTTAGGCACTGTACCCTAATGAAAAGGGGATTTGAATTCAGTTGAGATTTTTATAAGGGACTTTCAGAAAAGCTTGTCACTAAAAAAGTCTACACATTAACCATCTTGCATAAACATTTGGGCTTCTCTTCCTTCCTACCCCCAGGAAACAGACACATACACATAAACCAGTAGTTCCCAGACATTTGGGGCTCAAAGACCACTAACAGTACTCTAAATGTTTCAGATGATTATATTAATTTACAAAGCTTTTGAGTGACAAATTAAATCAATGTGTTCACAATAGACATAAAATCCTCCCAGAGAATATGTAGGCACTGGAGCAAAGTGGCTAGTTTCTTAACTTTGGAATGCTTGCATACATAATATGCAGGGTAAACCTGGTTTTGATTCACAGAGCCAAATAAAATTTGGAGATTAAGCAAAGTTTGGAGTTATTAAGCTAACATCTGCTATAATACAAAGATAACATCAGAAAATGCATGCAATAAACTTCTAGATAGCAGAACCAATGCATTTGTGCTGCATAAGAAACAGGAAAGAATTAAGATTTAAATGATACAACAGGCTCTAGGCAGGATTTTTCTATCCATTCTCACTGCATCAACATGTGACTAAGAGAGCAGCCACCAAGGAGCCCAGATTCTCCTAGTTTATTTCTGATTTCCAGTCCCTTTTTGAGGGGGCACCAACTGATTCAGATTCAGGAGATCCAACAGGGTGGACTCTGAAGCCATGCCGCAATAGTCAACTAAGAATGGGAAACCTTTTCCCTGCTGTGGGGTGAAAGTAGTTTTTGGGCATGCAATTTGGTTAACACCAAAGAAAAAGTGACCCTACTCCCTACGAAATAAAGTTGTGGGCTATAGCTGGCGTGTAGGCCCAGATAAAGGAGGGCTCTGTGAGCATCTTTCTCTAAGGACCTCCAGACATATAAACAGGAAGGAGAGAAAATATCAGCAAGTATTTCTCACTTTACCTCCTGAGACCAGAACTCCATCTGAATTTACAGCCAGTGTGTTGATGATAGCATTGTGACCAGAGAGGTTCTGAATGAAGTTTCCATCTGGGAATTTCCACTGCTTAATATTATCTGGAGAACCAGATGCAAATGTGTAACTGAAAGAAGATTAGGACAGTAAATCAGAATTTAAAATATGGATAAGCCAATGCCAAAGTAAGGAGAGCCAACGCCCTTCATTAAAACTACTGCTGAACTAGTTACTTAACATTAAATCTGCTCTTCTGAAACTTACTTTGTGTAAATACAAAGTGATTTTATAAAATCATGAATGAAAACAGGAGTTACATAATTCTGTTTCCTTTCCATTCTATAGATTATCTAAACTTTATAAATCACAAGACTCTCCTGTGCCATATATGATGAGAATATGCAAACAAACATTAAAAATACGTTTTAAATTTTGGAGAGTGTAAAAAAGTAACATTCTTGTCCATAGTTATTCTGGCCATTTTCAAGTATAAAGTGCACCATCAATAAAAGGTATCAAGATAAAAAGAGAAAAAAAAGTATTCCCTCATTTTAACGTTTGCATTTACGTAGGTTATCTGGGTAGCACATAAAAAAAGTCTTTAGCAATCTTTTCAATTGCCACCATGTCTAAAGCAATTTGCCGTTTACTTAGTAGATCCTGCAGTTTTTCCCCCATTATTTTTATAGGAATTTATCAGACCAGGTAACTATTAATGCAACAAAATATAGTATCTTAATTCAGTTATATTACCACTACCTGCTTCAAAGACTAATTACCTACAGAAGTTTCTCTTTAAGACAAGTTAAATTGAAATATCTCATGCACTGAAGCACAGATTCAAAAAGATCCCTTGCAGTAATTGCTGTCTACTTTAGCATTATTCACACACAAGCAAGTTTACAAAATTTCCTCACTTTCTGCTAACAAGCATTCAATTACGTAATTATTATGAGTCTTAGGAAGCCATTAGGAAGTGCCACTGATCTCTCAAGGACTGTGTCAAAGCACGTGTAAGTAGTTCTGTGGAGCATAAGAAACTCTGGGAATTGCTAACGTACACCAGCATCAATACTCGGGGAACGGAATCAGTGTACTAAAGACTTCTGAGAAGTAATATTTTACTAATATGTACACTTTTAAAGCATTCTAAGCTCTTCTTTCACTAGTTTGTTTACACTGTTCTGCTCTATCGTTTTAAATCATCATTCCTGTTCACTTTGTCACTGCCCAATGTTACAAACTGTGAAAGGGTAAAGGAATGAGGAAAACTTACTGTCTTGGATGTAGTACAACTGCTCTTACAGATTTCTTGTGGTTTGTTAAAGTAACACGAGTTTTTCCTGCCACCAAATCCCAGAGCCGTATTGTGGTATCATGACTACCTGCAATGAAAATGACAAAAAAAAAAAAATTAAAAATCATTAAACTACTTCTACTGCTTTCATAAGACAGGCAAACTTGATAACGTGAGCGACAAAATTATTATCTTAACTACAAAAAGAAAAAGAAAACGTCACACGCGAGCCCCGAGTTCTTTACTACTAAAACTACCTCAGAAGTAAAATATGCTGGGCGTTAACAGTCTTCAGCGCTACTGGAAACGTTTAGAAGAAATAAGGAATATTTTATGCAATTTGAAATTCAAGACGAATTAATTACAAAAGAAAGCTGGATTTTGACATAATGGGAAAGAGATTCATATTTAACCATAGAACTGGACACTTAATTGGATGGTGGACAATTACAGAAGACCACACAAAATACAAAGACTTGAGCCACACACAAATTTTAAACTTCAAATACAGGAAAAGCAGAAAAACAGAGTTTTTTTAAAGCAGCGCCCAAGTATATGTGCTTAAGCATACCACCGATAGTATAAAATAATCATTTTACTGCCTACTTTTAACAGAAAACTAACAAGAGATGTTAATTGAATAAGTCAATAGAGAGAACAGTAACTTCATCACATGATTATATAAGGGATACATTTATGACTGTTGTATAGATTACATGATCGAAAAACAACTATTGTCTACTCTACCTGTAATAATTTGTGGTTCTGCAGCTTGGCACTTCACTGTTGCAACTGCATTTGTGTGTCCTGATAGTGTGTGCACACTGGCTTTTGTCCTCACATCCCATATCTATGAAACCACAGTAAATTACAGAGGTCAAGAAAAGGTGCATCTTCAATGTATTTTAGGCACTGTCACTGATTGAAATAAATTTCTACCATAGGTCCACAGGTGAAACCATAGTATTTAGTTCGTTTTTTATCACCACAGAATTGCCCCAATTGGCAAATTTCAAGGGGAGCAGAGAGCCTGGTACTCAATTTGTAAGGTATATAGATAACTAACTGCAAAGTGAGTCAACATAAAGTTATGCCATCTTCTAAAAATAAGAAACTAAGCGACCATACATAACGTAGCCTACCTACTCAATTAAGAAATAAAACATTCTCCTGAAAATACATTGCATTTATGTATATTTGGGGTACAATCAAATGCTTACGTTTCTATCTGACAAAGTTAATATAAATCATCTTTGCATTTTAATCTTGGTATGTTTTAACCTTTGTTAGTTAATTACTTCTACAAATGGAAGGTGTTAAAATTCTACTTAAAGTTCTACTCACTCGCGCTGTTGAATCTCTGCTACATGTCACCAGCACATCTATTGTTGGATGCAGATCTAAACCATAGACAGCACTTAGGTGACCGTGATAATGTCTGATAACCTAGATGAATTTAAAAAAAAAAATTAGTGGAATAGTTAAAGGAATACTTTAAATGTTTTGATTTTTATATTTGTCCCTACCAATTACCTCTGATCAAAAAAACAAAAGTTTACCTTATTGTATTCAAGATCCCAGCATTTCACTTGTTTGTCTTCTCCACAAGAAAACAGGTATGGACTTCTTGCACTTACTATCACCCCTCGTACAGTACTGATGTGTCCCGTCAAAGACAATTTCAATTTGCCACTAGCAAGGTCCCAAATCTGTATTAAAATAGGTATTTTGAGACAGATGAATATAAAGCTACACAGATGGTAGCCTGGGTAAACAGCCTAGGTAAAAATGTAACAGGTTCAACGGAGATTAATAATTCTAAGAATTACAGAGATATAAATGTTTGCTAATTACTACCATATGATGAATAAGATCTCAAGAACAAATAATGCTCTGCAAATCCTCTTCTGTTTGTGACTAGGTAATAAGAGGGGAGAAAAAAACATACATTTTGTAGCTGACTATTCTGTACACAGTAACCAAGACATTGTCTGCAGTGGCTGAAAACATTTCTAAATAGCACGAGAAAGACAACTTAACTCGTCAATAATTCTTCCTTCTTACCTTTATAGTTCTGTCAGCTGAGCCAGTAACAAACCACTGATTTCCTGGTTCTACTGCAATGCATCTCACCCAGCCCAGATGGCCACTGATAACCTTTAGACAAAAAAGAAATTTGCAAAAATCAGAAATAATAAACATATCTGTCAGTATAAGTTGCCTTCTCTAACACTGGAATTTGTCTGTATTAAATGAGAAATGCACGCTCCCTAGGACAAGATCTGAAATTAGATCTGAGAAGAGCTTGATTTTAGTTCTTCTTCAGTAAATTTTTAGCAGTCTCTCTTCATTTAACATGTCATACACCAGACTTTCAGAACTTGCAACGGGGAAAAAAAACCTTCGCCAATAAGCCACTGTTTCAAATCCTTTATGAGTCCATAATATGCTGGCTGAACACTTCAGACTTCACAGAGAAGGACTGATTTAAGCGCACCTTCTCTATGCTGCTATATAATGTTTATACAATAATAAAAAAAAAGATTCATCTGCCAAAGAATCTGACTGGAAAAGACAAACTCTTAAAAGAGCTGATCACACTACAGCTAAACCTATATAAACACAAGGATAAAAATCAATAATATTCACAAAACAATTTAGTAAATAAAATGAAAAAAGTTTTTAATCAAATCTTGTTATTTAAGGAGAGAGTATGCATGCAACTTAGGCACGATCACTTTTCATTCGATTTCATTTCGTTCCATTTCCTGAATGAGAAACAGAAATTAAAATCTAAGCTAATCTAAGTTTTTATAGAACATAAAACATTCATTTACTTTTGTGCGCACGTTCCTAAGTTTATAACTTACTCTGTACAGTTTCCAAGGTGGATGCCACTGAGGTTTGGGCATGGTTGGAGCTTTCTTTGCCACTAATGCAGAATTTTTGTTTCCACCAGCTTCCATCACGGCCTATAAATTAAAAGGAAGGTTACTCCGATGCTTTATAACCATTCTTTTCATATAAAACCTAAAGCTCCCTTGCTGTGACATCTCAAAACTGATTTATTCAGTCAGAACTCCACAGAACTCACAACTGAATTGGAAGTGATCTGGTGAATGCCACCTACTCTGACAGTATAAGCCTTACACACAAGAAACTCACCATGGGCGCGCCAGGGGGCTGCGACCGCTCAGACATTCCAGCATGCCTGTAAATGTCACCCACACCAGCAGCTGTCCGATTTGCATCCAACCTACAATGAGTGAAAAAGGTAAACTTATTGGAATCAACTTTTTCCTTTCACAAAGTAAATGAAAGGTACAAAGCGTTCAAACACAATCAAAACAAACAAACAAAAACCCAGACTTTTTCCCTTGCATCTAATCAGATTTTCCCATCTTCCAGCTTGCGTTCATTGTCTCTTGTGACATCCAAGAACAAACTATGTACAGAAAAACGATGCCCAGTCATGCTAAAAAGTTCTTAAAAAACAATTTTGAAAAATATAATATTCAAGATTTGGCTGGGGAAAAAAAAGGTTCTTATCCCAGCTTCTGCACTTTTTCTTGAAATTCCCATAAAATACAGAAGTGTTATGGAAGTAGCCCCTTAGTACCTGGACTGAGAAGGAGGAAGTGCTACAGCTAATGACTGAGCTGCAGATTCACTAGGCATCCTCTGGATCTTAGTATCTGCTGTCAGAGCCACACCTTAAAAGAAAAACACAGCAAAAGCAAAGAGAACTGTGTTAAAAAGAAAATACAGAAAAGTGTATTATACACACAAATATGCACATACACCTGTGTAACAGTGCTTGGCACACCTCTGTAATATTTAATAATGTCACTGAATGACAAGATTTTTCACAGATGAGTCACAAGCCTACAAAAATAATTCTTTTTATTTTGGTTCAAATTCTCTCCATCTCGATTCTACATATATACATAGGTACACAATTTCTACAACAGAAAGCGGTACGATTCTGTCATAGGAAAGAACGGAAGCCTAACTTGGGAAGGTGCCCATCTTTTTTTTAAATCAAGCCTCAACAACTGTGGAACTGTGATTGTCACAGTACCTACTGTGATCAAAGACAGAACCAATAATTCAAAAAATGTTTGCTATGTCCTTTAGCACAGTTTATTGTATTATGTAGCCCCTCTGTGCTCCACGGAGCAGGGCAGGAACTACAAAAGATTTAGTTCTATTTAAGTCAGAATTTCAGACTACAACTGATAATATATATTCTCATCCTAAGAACAGTTGATCAGTTTTTTCCCCCAAAGCTTAGTTTCTGGCAGACTGGTGAATATATTTCACGCCCATTTCTCTGTTTCTTTGCCAGACCAAAGTTCTGGCAATTGACAACAAAGATAACATTTGGGTGAGATATGCATGCAAAACAAAAACAGAGAAATCTAATTTTTAAACTTGACATATGTGGCTCTACTAAAAGAACACTGAATCTGAGGAAACTTGTTTGAGTCAGTCTCATCCACACAGTCCTAGGCAACTATGCAGGTTTTCTAAGGACTGAGGGTCTACTGAACACTCGCATCTTCTAAGTTACATCAAGCCCCAAAACATTTCCCATGATATGTACAATAAACTTACATGCCAGAAGTAAAAGATCAACACTCAAAACTAAACTGTCATAAAGCAAGAGTAGGAGCCATCAATAAAAGTGACAACAGCTAATGGCCAATATAACAACAGAAACATAACCCTTCCAGACGCACTAAAACAAATGACAGCAACATTTTTTGACACTAATGCCCCTTTCCTAGAACAAGGGTGGTGATACCTACAACTTTTTGCTCTAGTGATGAAAGGCACAACACATTTCTGCTTGTTATCCCACATTCTTCCACCTGTTACCTCCCCACTCCTCTCCCTTTCCCAACAAAAGTTTTAGAGCAGCTGTGCCACAACAGTGGAGGAAGCAGGGATCTGTCAGTCTTTGGAATTTTTACAGGGACAGTGGACCACAGCATCAGAGAGAGGATTCCCAGAACAATTTTTTGATATTGCCACAGGGGGTGAAACATCCTAGAAACAAACGACAACTTCATAGCAAGCACACATCCACTGAGGCTTAGTGAGAAGAAAGATGCTCCACCTGCATCTAAATCCTCCTGGTACCTCCTAATCCAGAACATTTATCAGCCACAAAACTCTCTACATCAATACTATGAAAGATTCAAATAGCATATCTCATTACTATCAACTATGGATTCACAACAACAGGAAGCCTCCTTGGAGCTGGACGATTCCCCAATTTACACTTTTTTTTTTTTTTAAATAATAAAAAAATGCCCCCTCCCCACACCAAACAAGCCCAACAAAAAAAGCACTCCCAAAATTTTACTTGCCAGGCCCAGGTGGGTACGGATGTGTACCAGTTACCATATATTCAAGTTCTTGTCCTAAAGAGCAACATAATTTCATATTAATAATTATATTTTACACTACACTGCAAATGACATGACAAAGCAGGAAACTGAAGAAAATCAGAGCAGGCCATACATAGCCCTGATCCTATGTAACATACTACATTTACTTGGAATGCATTTGTTTCGGTTATGCCAGTTTTCTAGAACTGGCTAGCAAGATGACATTTTTTAAACGGTGATGCCACTGCCTGTTATCAAAAGGGACTCTTTCTCATGAGAAGCAACTTTATGTTGCCAAAGGTGCCTTTCTGAAGTAGAGACCATGGAAAAGGATTCAAGTACATAATGAACCTGTATTTCACGTACAGCATGGGATCTTTGATACATAGGCTAGTCAAGACAATTTACGGTGTGATACTGGAGAAGAAAAAGGCAAATACAAGTTCTTTTTTTCTTCAAAGATTTTTCAGTCTCTCTCAACATTTTTTTCTTCACTCTCATAATATTTCCAAATAAAGTGTTCTGAAAAAATACCTCTACTAAAATAAGAAAGCATTTTGCATTCTTTATAAGGGAAGTTTCTATATGGGATCTACCTAATAGTTTCACATTTTATATTTAACCAAAAAGAAAAAATAGTCAAAAAGATACCATATTTAAAACAAATGGATTTTTCTACTTAATAGCTGCACAGCCAAAGAAAGTCTGAAAAAAAATTCCATGAAACTTAAAAAAAAAAAAAAACTTCATCAACCTGAAAAAGTAGAAATACATCACTGAGCTTATACTTTTCCCAGTAGCTAAGCATAACACACACTATGTTTCTGAATTACTGTAAAAATTACACAGCATCGTATCATTCCCTGTATTCTAACAAACTTTTTCCTTGTTCTAAATCACTAACCTCCTTTGAACTCTAGCAAGAAAAATACCAATGAAAACCAGCTATTATGATTTCCTCCTGTATCTGTGATGGATTAACACTACAGCCTTGAGAACTAACTTCAGTGAGACTGTCTCTTCCAAAACAAAAGACAAACATACCATTAGGAGCAAACTAACCTTGATTGCCAGAATACTGTTTATGTCCATAAGGATCCCCAGTGTTTGAGCCTCCTTTCTCTCTCAAGTTTTCTTTCAGAGTGGGCATGTGCAACACTGAGCCATACTCTGTACGCAGCTTGACTGCCATCTTTACTTTGTGACTGTTGGAAGAGGAAAGCATATTAAAGCCTAATCTTTGAGTTGTTATTAACTTTTGAAATATTTTAGAAAGCATTTGACACCACTCACTTTACAATCCTCAAATTTTTCTTCCCTTAACATCACACTGTAATTCTATCCAAACTTGTGACTTGACTAGAACAACCGCTACCATAATTTAAAGCTTTGAGACATACCAGTAATTCACTGATTGCAGCACATACCTTTCTTCATCTAATGGTATAGGCTTGGCATTATCAGCTACAAACATATCATGGGTTCTCTTCAAAGATCTGAACACAAGTGTGTGCACAGAATGCTTTTGGACTTCCTAAAAATAAAGGAAAGCATATTTAAATACATTTGGCCACAGCTGAATAAGGAATTGAAAACAGTAATACAAGTTAAATAGAGTAGCAATTTCAGGCTCTGACAGTGTTAAATGATGCGGCACTATCCAGTTCGCAGAAAACATTCTTGTTGGAAACTAAACATTAAAGTTTATGTGTTGTTTTAATTCAGTGTTTACTCAACTCTCCCTTTCCTGGAAACCAACAAAACTGAGAAAAGCAGGCCAAAAACTTTGATCAAACTTTCTGCACTGGCACCTATATGATGAACACATAAACAGGAAAGATTTTCCTACACACTTGCCAGTTCTGTTTTTATATAGTAACTGATTCTGAAAACATTCCTATAAATTCTATTTCACTATCTCCATAAAAAGAACAAGAGCATTCATAAAACTTCTGTGTAAACTGTGTCACTTAATGCAAGCACGGGAGCAAACATGGGCTCAAACCTGACAAAATTTGTTTTCTCCAAATAATTTTGTTTCCTTATTACCAAAAGCAAAACATTAAAATTCCATTCAAAGACTAAGAAGCAAAATAACAAAACTTTTAGGTCTCTTTCTACAGAATACTCTCTTATTACCAGCACAGTTCAGTTTTTGTTTTCAAATCTTTTCCTCCCAAAGATAAAAAAAAAAAAAAAAAGTCATTAGGAAATAGCTGAAAACAGAACTCTCTATAGGACTGCCTTTGTTCTGCACATCACAGAAATAACAGCAATAAACTGGAAACTACGTTAACACTTTCTGGAACTGGGTTGGGAGTTTCATGCAAACTGAAGAAAGAACTACGGGGAAGAACTGCTGTTCAACTACAGTAGCTATTGTAAACACCACACGAGCGCCAAGTAACAGAATGCCTCCCCATTACGAACGGAAGATCATGGAGCATCTGGCAACGCTTTCGACAGAGATACCACACTGAAAAAAACAGCAGGCAGCCTGACATAGGCCAGCATTCTTTACATTTTCTTACAGGCTCCTGACAGTTCCCTGTTTTCAGCAGAGCAGGAAACTCGCTCCACGCTAACTACCCCACCGCCGACAAACGCGG